CTGAGAACTGACTCCCAGCGTTAATGCCACTCTGCCTGCCCGTGAGCTAAGGTCACCAGGTGACAGTCTGCTAAATGCATGGGAGCTGCTATAAGGAGGGATACCATCAATTCACTTTATTCCTCAGCTAACTCATTCAAGGCCACGGAGGACCCCATCAGCGTTGGAAAGCAGGACGATAATTTCAGAGGAAAAAAAACAAAATTCCATGAAGAAATACTGCGTGGGATTTCCTGAGAATGCCTTCCTCAAACTGTCCTCATTCTATTCCCGCCCTCTCCCCGGGGAAAAAAAGTGTATCTTTCCTCCCACAACACAGAGATCGTAAGGGTGCCATATCAAAGCACTTTGAAAACTTTCAGTTGAGTTCACTCAGCCTGTTGGAGAGTCAACATCGAGTACCGTGCACTTAGTGACTACTAACTACAGTGATTACAAGGGCATCTCCTATGAGTCTGAACATCACACACACAACAGATTGTGTGTATCGCCTGATTTGTCACCACAGGGAAACAGTTGATATGTAGATACTGGTATGAAAATAAGCAAGAGAATGACATCAAACGTAATGCCAACTGGACACATGATATGGAGAGGGTTTAGACAGGAGAATTGGATTCTTCTGAGATGTACTACAGGCTCACAAAGGGGAAATGAGCTAGACATGTATTCTGAGAGACAGTGGACATGGATGTCTGTGCCCTAATGTGCCCTGGAATATCCATGAGGTAAATGGAACTATCTACTCCGCAGTGCAGGGATTAGGTGGAGAAGAGAGGAAAGACAGGTTTTCCTGTTACCTCACCCATCTTCTGAAAACCATCCTAAAACGCCAAACTAGTATCAGTCCTTTTCAGAACCCCCTGCACAGTACACTTGCTGACTAGCATGATCCACAATATGGCTGTTTAGACAGTTTCCTGGTGTGGTCCTTTCAGTCGCCCAGATAGGCGTGCTGAATCTCAGGATAGGTTAAGGGGCTGAAGGACTCAGACAAATGTGACGTGGGGTTTTGTTTGGTTTGTTCTTAGAATGTTTTAATGTGATTTTAACAGTTTTCACAGAATGTTTTAATGTGATTTTAACAGTTTTCACTGGGGTGTCGTTGGTTTCCTGACCACTTACAAGGGTTCTTCTTTGTTTTATGGTTTCTTCTTTTATACCCTTCTTATAAACCTCTGGACTCTGTGTATTTTAGGTCTTGAAAAGCTAGAGCTTTTTTTTTTTTTTTTAACAGCCTTTTGACATTTGGCAAGCATATGAATCCTAGCGTGTCACCGAACAGTAGCAAAAACCAAAATAAAACAAAAACAAAAATCGTGTTCATTCCGGCTCCAGTTCTCCTGGTAAATTTTTCCCCTTTTTCTTTTTCTGTGGGTCAGACTTGTTCAAAAATGTGTTTCGCCTGTTTTAATCTTTTTTTTTTTCTTTTTTTTTTTGTTGTTTTGGTCTTTTTAATTGATAAAAGTGAAACAAAATTAAAAAAAAAAATGGTAAGGACCAGAGACATGGTTTAGAGGACATAGAAGCTTGACTACTTGAACTTGATCCCTGGAACCCATAATTAAAAAACAAAACAGAATAAAAAACAGGGTCAGGAGGGGGTAGAGGCTGGAAAAATGGCTCCCCAGTTAAGAGCGCTTGTTGCTGTAGCAGAGGACTCGAGTCTGGTTCTTAGCACCCACCTTGGGTAGTTCATCCACCCTAACTAACCCCATCTCAGAGGGATCTGATGCCCTCTTCCGGTCTCTGGTGCACTTGACTTCCTGTGCACATAGCCACACACAGACACACACACACAGAATTGAAAATAAGATATTTAAAACCGTGTAGATGCGGTTGAGCACATTTTCAAACCCAGCATTCCCATGGTATGGTGAGAAGAGAGGTAGAGACGGGAAGGGTAAAATCTGTTGGCCGCTCATGGGCCAACTAGCCTGAAGTCTAGACTATACAACAGAAGCAAGAGAGGTCCTGACTCAGCGAGGAAAACAAGAACCAACCCCTGAAAGCTGTCCTCTGACCCCATACATGCACACGAGCCACACTCAGACACACAACTGACCTTTTTAAAATATCAAGTCAGTGAATAATATATAATGCTTTCAAATGAATCAACTATACATCATTATAGTATATTACAAATATATAATACTTTACTAGTTAAATTTTTGCAATGGCTTCCTGTGTCCTAGCAACTGAACATCAACTTTTCTTTTTTCTATTTGTTTTTTTTAAGATAAAATCTCATTATTATAGCTCTGGCTGTCCTGGAACTCACTATGTAGGTCAGGATGGCCTTGAGCTCAAAGAGACCCCCCCTGCCTCTGTCTGCCTCCCAAGTGCTGGGATTAAAGGTGTGTACACCACTATGCTTTACTCAGTGATCGTCAATATGTTTAAGATGGATCCAGATGCAGAGAGGGAGGACAAGACCAGGCTACAGAAACCCACAGAGACAGCTGACCTGAACAAGGGGGAGCTAATGGACCCCCAGACTGATAGCTGGGAAACCAGCATTGGACTGACTCAGTCCCCCTGACATTAGGTCTCAGTTAGAAAGCCTGGGCAGTCTAAGGGACCTCAGACAGTGGAGCCAGGATGGATCCCTGGTGCACAAAAGGACTTTGGGAGCACATTCCCCATGGAGGGATACTCCCTTAGCCTAGAGGCAGGAGGGAGGGCCTAGTCCCTACTCCAAATGACTTCACAGATTTTATTGATCCCCTCCTGGAAGGCATCACCCTCCCTGTGGAGTGGGGGGTGGGGTGGAATGGGATGGGAGTATGTGAGGGGGCATGGGAGAGAGGAAAGAAGAGAGGAAGAGAGGGAAGGAGGGAGGGAGAAAGAGAGGGAGGGAGGAAGGGAGAGGGAACTGGGATCAATATGTAAAATAATAAAAATAAAAAAAATGAAAAATAAAGATGACAGTCAGGGTTCTCTAAAATCTAGCCAACACCAAGTTTCTTTACTGTTCCGTTTGACCTTATACTCTCTAATGGAAATGACTATTTGCTGTTCCCTAATGATGCTCAATTGTTAGTGAAATGTCACTGACTGAGGTTGTTTTCCCCAATATACAATTATGGGGGTGGGGAGCACCACAGCGTGACCTGTGACCTGGAGGGTTTGTTAAAACTCAGGTTCTCGAGTCCCATCAACACTTTCTGAATCTGCTGTTATGTGTTGGTGCCTAAGCATTTGCACACCTGATGTTTCCTTGTTGACACTGCTGATACTGCCCCAGGGGTGACATTTGGAGGATCACTAGTTTGCTAACTCTCACTGAAGTGGAACGAGAGAGGTTTATGTATGAGGTGAGCCGCCCTGTATAATACAAGAACCGTCCTTTTAGTCAGCACATATAGATAAGAATTTTTTGTTTACTCCCAATAGTACAGTGGACTTTGAAGATGTGACTAGTTTTTTTTTAAAGATTTATTTTTATCTCGTGTGTGTGTGTGTGTGTGTGTGTGTGTGTGTGTGTGTGTGTGTGTGTACCGTATGTGTGCAGTACACACAGAAGACAGTAGAGGGCATCCGATCCTCGGGAACTGGAGTCCCTGATGATTGTGAGCTACCATGTCAGTGCTGGGAATCAGACCCAGGTCCTCTGGAAGAGCAACCAGTGCTCTCAATTACTGCACCATCTCTCCAGTCCCAGGTGCAAACATGTTTGACATAGTACATGTGTTTCTATAGCATGGATAATGTGTTTAACACTTTATCTTATGAGTTTATTGTATCTTAGTTCTCATTTCAGTATTACAAGGAAGAATTTTGTGTTTAAGAGATTGAAGAGCAAAGGGTTTTTAATAACTGACATAGGACCAGCAACAGCCAGTAAATGGCAGTAAAATCACCTAGATGTGTTTTAAACCTGTTAAAATGGGGGTTTGAATACAGCAAGGATCTGGGCTAAATTAGGGTTCTTAGTGGAGTACTCTGAGTGGGGGGAAAGATGAGCTGTTCTCTACCCTCCACCGCTTAGGAGACGAAGCTGGTGATTTCAACCTCTTCCTAAAGTTCAAACATGTAATTTTTAGCCCAGGCTGGCCTCAAACTCATGATCCTCCTGCCTCTGCCTCCCTCAGCAAATCCTACCAGTGTCTACCACCACAACTGGCTAAGATACGGAGTTTTAAAGAGCAATTTGTTCTTTTCCTTTTAAAAGGGGGCTGGAGTGGGTTAGAGTAGGGTGGAGAGGGGTGGGTGGCAGTGTCCCAGAGTGCTGCAGCCCATTATGTTGATCCCCAGTCATTGATTTGGAGTCCTCAGTAAAAAATAAAGGGCGTGATCACTGACTGCCATTGAGAGGCTTGCGGATCCCATCGTGGTCACTGAAGCGTTGCATCCCAGTGGGCAATGCTTTGGCTCCATCTGAGTGCTCCATACTCACTTGTGGTAATGGCACACACGAGAGGCAGACCTTTTAAAACTCTGTCCTCTCTCTTCAAGTGAACTTCCGGGAGCTATGCCAGCCGAGAAGCAGAACCTAGCCTGTGCATCCAGTGTTTTAAGAGAGAACATGAAATTATTATGCCCTGCATTAGTGATGATAGCAGGGTACACTTGAGCAGTGTCAACTGAAATGCCCTCATCATGGCATGAACACCCTTGGTGTTTTTCAGGCGTCCGAGGTCATTGCTCAGGTGAACGGTAACACAGCCAGAGTGCAGGTGGCCCCTCGATTCCATCAGCGAATCTTCACTTACTGTGTACCCTGTCTCTCCCTTCTTCATCGCTCTGACTAGGTTTCATGTTCCCTTGTGCCGCTAAGGATACTTCTTTATCGGGGGAAGAAAGGGAGATTCCCTTCACGAATATTGGACTGTTTTGACCGAACAGCTTGAGACTTCTTGGCTCCTATTGATAGTAAATTAGCTGATATCTCCGAGTGTACTGTCTGAGGGTTTCGTAACTTTCTCCCCTGGGCCAGCAAAGGGAAGGACAGTAAGACGTATCTCGTTTGGACAGATGGCCTTAGGCACCATGCTTACCTTTGCAAGCATCTGGGGCAGAGAAGGGTCTCCTGAGGTCACGGTAGAAACCGGGCTTACAGCGCTGACAGTGCTGTCCTTCAGTGTTGTGCTGACAGTTGTTGCAGACGCCGCCGCTGCGGTTCCCCGACGCCTCCCACGCGTTGATGTCGAAGTGACAGGTGTCGGCATGCCCATTGCACTTGCAGGCTGGCGACAAAACAGCACAGGAGGGACATAAGAATCACTGCAGCAGGTTCTCTCATGCTTAAGAGGTAAAACAGGATAAAGTCATTGTTAAACTTAAATTTATTGGCGAGGATGTAGCACAAGAATAAATTGAATACAGGAAGGGATGTCCTAAGAACTGTCTCGCTTTCCCTTACCCAGGGCTCCACTTTTATGCCTCTTATCTAGACTTCTGCTTTTCATTGTATGTTGGTATTTTAAAGTGTTAGTATATGCGCGAAGGTCATTGTGATGGCTAGAGTTAATTGTTAACTGGACAGAATCTAGATCACTTGGGAAACTGGCCTCAGCATGCCTGGAGATTATCCTCATTATGTTAACTGGTGTGGGAGGACCCATCATAACTGTGGTCCAGGCCGATTCTTGGGCATGGATTTTGGATTGTGCAAAATGGAGACAACAGTTGAGCACCAGCACGCATTCCCCGTTGCCTGCTTCCTGACTGGATGCAATGAGGTCACCTGCTTCAAGCTCCTGCACTAGATTTCCCTGCCACGATGGACTGTGCCCTTGAACTGTAACCCTTACATGGCTTTTGTCGGAGTATTTTATCACAGCAGCAGGAAAAGAAACTAAAGCATTTATCAAAGTCGAGATATGTCCATTCAGTAACGATATTCTGGGCACCCATAGAGTGTGGTTGGCATTTCTTTTGGAAAAATATTTGAGAGGTCACCTGTTTTTCTCTTTGATGGTGACACTTGGCCATTTCTATTCCTGCTGCCTTCTGAGGATCAGTAGATCTCTTGTCTCAGTGGAGAAAACCTAAGACTCTTGGCATTATTTGAAAAATGCAAGGTATATTGCTGACACAAACCATAATTCATGCTCATCCATGAGCCTAGAAAGAAACATCTGGTAGACAGTGGACAGAGCCAAAGTAGTATCTTTCTCTTGTGAAACTAAGATTAAACCCAGGACTTAACACATGCTAGTGATCTGGGAGTGTGTGCATGTACGCCACCGCCGCACACATTTGGATATCAAAGGACGACTTTCAGGGATCCGTTCTTCCATGTGGTTTCTAGCTGGAACTCCGTTCTCTTTTTCTTCTACTGTGTGGAGCCTGGGGATTGAACTCAGGTCCTCAGGCTTCGAGGCAAGCACCTTTACAAGTTGAGACATATTGTTGGCCCACCTTTTTACTTTTTATTTTGAGATAGAGCCTCACTTACTTGCTTAGGCTATCCTTGAAGTCACTTTATAGCCCTGGCAGGCTTTCATGTTGGGATTCTCCTGCCTCAGCCTTCCAAATAACTGAGATCACAGGCCTGAGCCATCAGGTCTGGTTTAAGTTACCGTCTGTGGAGTGACATTTGTCAGCTGTTGTCGTTTGGTCACTATACGGAAGTTTGCTACTGAAGCCTTGGTTTATAGAGGAGGCCTCATGCTCCTTCTGTAATAATTCCTCAGTGGCATCTCTAAGCGTATCAGTCTATAGCTCCCAGTGACATGTCTCTGTGTCTCTGTGTATTTAAATAGGCAGTGGGTTTCCATGGAAAGGACCAGAATGGCACTCTAGGAATTTAGGAGAAATTCTTTAGATTCTCTTGATAAGTGATTTAGGGTAAGAATGCAGACTTCCCCACCCTTGTCCCGGAAGTCAGCTGTATTTGAAAATGCTAGTGCTATTATTTTTCATTGTTTCCTTGATATGTCATGATGTCTTTCCCAGGCTCGTATCTTTAAAAGGCATACGATAGTTTGAGATTTATGCTTAGAGGAAATCCTTTATATTTCTTAGAAACAAATCTGTTCTGATTCCAGATTGTGCCTGGACAGAGACTTTTTGGAGCTTTATTCATGAAATAAACAGTTTCAAAGCTGCCAGTAGGATTGAGTGGGTAACAATGTCCTATTTGCTTGGACACTTTGGGGGACCTAAATGCTGTTCCTGAGAACGTGGCACAGCACAAACATGAGTAGATACAAGATTTAAAAATCCTCCTAAAACAGGCTTGGGCTGGAAACATTTCTGTGGGCACACGTGTTTCTCAGAACATCTGCCCCCTTGAATGATAGCCTGCTACCCTTGGACCAGACTCTGAACTCCGTAAAGCAAATAGAAAAAATGGTTCATTCCCCATGTCCTGTCTTCCCTTCTCCAAATGCAAACTCAAAATTAGTCCCAGTAAAAACAACCCCCCTCCTTGACATGCTGGTTAAATTTCAGGTCTGATCCATCAGTGGGGAAAGTATGAACCCTGAAGTCTGGGGATCAAGTCCTTATTCCTTCTTTTCTTAACTGTGGCCAGACACCAGACCTTACAGCGCCTCAGTTCCCTGATTTCTAAAACAGGACTGACGCCATCTGCTCTCTCGGTTGGTTCTGTGAACTGAGTTTAAAAGAGTGTTTCGTGGTTAACATCCAGTATCGCAGCCACGAGAGCAGTTTCACGCTGTAACCCTTAACGTGCCTTCTCATGTTGGTGTCACGTCAAGTCCTCAAGGACAGCATTTAGGTCCCACAAGTGTCCAAGCAAGCAGACAGCACACCCTTGGCCACTCAGTACTATTGGCAGCTCTGCAAATTGTTTCCAGGGCTTGGAGTCCTGCTGGGCAGTGTCTGTGTATAGCGGTGTCACCCACCACTCTATATTGTGTTTCAAGAGATAACAAGGAATTCACAGATAAGCGTATTCCACAAAGACGGCTTTTGAGTAGTGGAGGTCGATACTTACTTCTGCACTCATTAGGAGACCCTGTTCTGCCATCTGCCGCTTCCCAGGGCCGGTCGTTGTACAATGGAGCACACTGTTGACAGTGGTTGCCTGCTGTGTTGTGTTTGCACATACACTTCCCGTGCACCTACAGAAAACAACGTCAAGTCAGAGCTGTGAGCAGGGGCCGTGTCGCTAAGGAAGAAATTCTCTCTTCATCTCTTAGCACCAGTTGCCTTTAGCAGGAAGACACTAATTCACTGTTTTTTTTTGAAGAAGTTAGCTAGCAGGAGGAATAATTCTTTTGTCTTGGGATTAACTAAAAAAAAAAAAAAAAATGCTTTTCTTGGCTATAGGATCTATGACTGTTAATTGAGCAATTCTGTGATACTGGCTAAGTGTTTAAGTTAGTTTTAGTATCCTTAGTTAAAAAAAATAGTATAAAATAATTCATCTTTACTGTAGAAAATTTAGAAGTTTGTAATCTTTTCAAAAAATATATCAACATTTGAATATATACATACACACACATATAATATCTAGTGCCTTAAGATGCAATTAAGGACTTGTTCTACATAACATGTTAGAACATGTAGATTTGTGGTAGAGTGTGTGCCTAGCATGTGCAAGACCTCAGGTTCAATCTCCAGACCTCTACCAAAAAAAAAAAAAAAAAAAAAAAAGGAAAAGAATATCTGTACACTTTCTTTAGTATTTGTGTATAGAACACATTCGCTTATATGAGTAACAGTTTACTTGAGCAATTACCTACTTGTTTTTAATCATAGAGGTTTAAGCTATTGATACATTCACTACTACAGTGACTACTATCCCTGTAGCTAAAGTATCTGTGTAACTCTTTATTTCTCTTAAATGTATTTTCTAGAAGGAAAATTACTTGAAGGACCAAAGAAATTTGCTAAAACTTTTAATACATTTTTGTCATAATTACTGGGCATTGAACCCATAATTGAATCCTTGAAGGTCATCTCAGAGAAGAATGCTTTGGTAGCATTCTTAAGGAGATACATTTGGCCCTTATTTCACTGATAAAGTTAGTATCACCTAGTAAGAATTACCATGGATACTGATACAGTGACCAAAGATATGAAACTTGATAAAGCAGCTCTGAATGGGGTCTGTGAATATGAATCTGCAAGTTTCTCTTGAAAAACAGTATTTAAAACAATTCAGCATAAAGGCAACAAAATCATGTCAGTCAGTCAATGAATATGTATTGATGATCTAGAAGGGGCAGTCAGTATGGTACACTGAGTTTGGTACACAGAGCATCGCCTTTCTGTTTATTTTTGCTTATGCAAATACATGTCACATGTTCAGGTGCCTTCAGAGGCCAGAAGAGGATGCTGGATTCCTAGAGCTCAAGTTACAGGCTATTGTGAGCCTCCTGACCTGGGAACTGAACTTGTGTCCTCTGGAAAAGTCCTCAAGACACTTTTAACTGCAGGACCATTTCTCAAGGCACAGCATTTCTTTTCTCTAAGAAAGGATGGGGAGTTGGTGGTTGCTGGGGAGCTGGCCCAGTGGTTCAGAGCACTGGCTGCTCTTGTAGAAGTTTGATTCCCAGCATCTCCATGGCTGCTCACAACCATCTATAACTTCAGTCCCAGAGAGCTAACACCTTTTGGCCTTCGTGGGCAGCAGACACGGCATGTGGTATACATACAGGCAAAACAAAACAACAAAAGTGTTTGGGTGGTTGGAGAGACAGAGTAGTGGTTAGGAGCTTATACTGCTTTCCAAGAGGACCCAACCCAAGTTCAATTCCCAGCAACCATGTCAGGAAGCTCACAGTGCCTGTACCTCCAGCTCCAGAGAAATCCAACACCTCTGGCCTTTTCAGGCACCTGCACTCAAGTGTGTGCACCAGCATAAGCATGTATGCATACATACATACACACATAATTAAAAAATTTTTATGAAGGTAAGGATTAGTACAATTGGAGCAAAGAGATTTACATAGGAAAATGCAACATAATAAATGCAAAAGGATGAAATCGATACTTGGGACTCAAAAGGTTTATAAATTGATCATAGGTTGGCAGATGTGGAGGGCATTAAGGAAGGCATGGGGTTTGATCTGGCCTTGATGGGTGGGCTGCATTTCTAACAAGCTGAGAAGAAACTTCCCAGGCCATGTAAACAACATATAAACCAAGGCATAATGGAAATCTATGAGCAAGGGTGGACTTTGAGGCTGGGTCTTGAAGGCTTACGCAAGATTCCATCAGTGATGGGAATAAGATGATGAGAATTGCAAAGGGTTGGCCAAAGGATAGTCAATAAATGAACTAGAGTGTGCACTAAAGACACAGGATTGGTCTAGAATGATCATGGCATTCATTAAATGTCAGCTCCAAGAGTCTGGAATTTATCCTGTAGATAATGCAGACACATAAAAGATTTTTAAGTAAAGAAATAATTGGGACGTGTATTAGCTACACTTTCTTTTATTCACCTTCAAGAAAAAGTCTTCCTGCTTTCTTCCTTCTTTCCTAATAATTTATTTTTCTTTCCCTTCTTCTTTTATTGGTTTTTCACCCCCGCCCCCAGTTTATGTCATCCAGCAGCCAGTGTTACCACCTGTATTTTCTGATAACATTTGTAATTTTAACATCCATTTATCAAGGGTTATATGAAAATGGGGTTGAAAGGTATTGCTACTTTTCTTTACAAGAACTCAACCGTTGCCAAGAATCTAGTTTATCAAGTCCAGTCCAAACCCTATACAAAATTTCACCCAACTCATATGCTATTCTATCCCACAAATCCTAGGCCTCAGGGAAGCACAGAAATTTTGGGGTAACCTCGTCAAACATTCATGTGTATCACAGGGTAATATTGACAGGTCTGTTCCTTCTGGAGCATTTCTTTGTTCCCATCTGCCAAGGACTGAAACGGACCTCCCAGGGTCTGAAGACGCTGGGACAGCAAATTTTTCTGCACATAGAAAAATTCAAGGAGCTGTCATTTTGAGAATTACCAAAAATAGCTGTAAATCATTACCCAGACAGTTTGAAACAAGAAATCCTTCCTCAGCGATACAACTATTGCTGTTCAAGCTTGAAAGATCACCCACTATTTGATGCTCGTGAAAAATGTGCAAGTAAAACTAGGTCTTCCCTGGAGAACAAACAGAAAAAGGAAACTTTGGTAATAAGTTAAACATAACTCCTATTCAGTACATAAACATGAACTAGATAAAGAATAAGAAGACAGAGTTATGCACTGAAGAGGTCATCTAACACTGCTGTCTGGGTGTCTAATTGGAAAATGAGAAATGAATCTTGACCACAAAACCACAACTTGTAATTACTCGAGGTATTTAAATATTGTAGGAGTTTCAGAAACACCTCTGTTAATGTCAAGAATACTTTTCTCTTTCAATGTCCAAAGGGAGTCCCCCTCCACTAAACAGGGTCTCACTGTAGACCAGCTGGCATTGAACTCAGAGGTCTCTCTGTCTTGTCTGGGTCTTGTGCTACCACCTCCCAGCCAAAGTTTCTATAATTGCACACATGTCTATTTACCACTAAAATTAACCTATTTTCTACTCATTTTTAGCACAATCCTCCACTTGTGCAAACTTGAAACAAGTCATTTGGAGGAGTGACTAGACCAGTGTGTTCATTATGAGCTGTGTAGTTTTGTTACAGTAATTGTATATTAAAAGCAGATAGCTAAGGAAAAGGAATTATCTTTTCATATTTGAAACTGCACAATAAGAATTTAGATGGGGCTAAAAATCAGGCATGATTGCCTTTCAGACTGTCAGAAGATAGGCCTAGGATAGCAAAGTTTCTTTCTTTTTAATTGGTTCATTTTGGCTTTTAGTGGTCTTCTGTCATGTGACTGAGGACATTGGTCATGGCAAGAGATGGTGGGAATCTGGTTACAGATAGTGTCAAACACTTGTGACTGAACAATCATTTATTTGTAGATTTTTAAATGTAGATTTTAAAAGATTTTATTTTTAAGTGTGTGTGTGTGTGTCTGCATATGGGTATGTACACATGTGAGTGCTGATACCTGCAGTCTCCAGAAGAAGAAGCTGGGGTTATAAGCAGTTGTGAACTTCTAAATGGGTGGTGGGAACCAAATTTGGGTCCTCTGCATGAGCAATACATGCTCTTAACCATTGAGCCATCTCTCCAGCCCTAAGATATTACAGAATATCTCAGTATTAGATGAAGATTGGCTTAGACAACTTTCAAAAAACTTTTGGAGTCCTTAAAAAATAGTGCAATGTCAAGGCCTCCATCTTTGTAGTTCAGCTATAGGCAGCTAGTTAATATCCTTTCTGAGTGATCACCAGATCCTACAGAAAACAATCGTGTAAGTCAATGGGAAACATGTTTTATGACTTCATATTAAGAAATGGTTGGGTGGAGAGATGGCTAAGAGATTAAGAGCACTGGCTGCTCTTCCAGAAGTCCTGAGTTCAATTCCTAGCACCCATATGGTGGCTCACAGCTATCTGCAATGAAATTTGGTGCCCTCTTCTGGTGTGCAGGCATATATGCAGATAGAACACTGTATACATAATAAATATTTTTAAAAAGAGAAATGGTTGGATTTAAAAAATAGAGTAGTTTTCTTGTCTGTGGTAATTTATATACATACACATGGTTATTTACATTACTGTGCAACCTTGAATTCCAGTAGAAAAAAATGAATATTATTATCATTAAAACATAAAAACCTTTGTGAAAAGAACAGAGCCTGTGAGCCAAGAAGAATGCACACTTGGTGGTGGTGGTGACAGTCTGGCAGGCCTCTGTTTAGCTCTAACAGATTACCTAGAGTGGAAAGAAGCCATATACCCTCTTAAGACCAAATGGGAAGAAAAACTGATTAATTTCTGAGGAGCTACTGTATCCCTCTTAGAGAAAAGCATTAGCTTCTAAAGGCATGAAAACAGAAATTCTAACGACAGGCTAGCTAACCTGTTGGAATCTATTCTTCTTCTGTGGGGCAAAATCACAGCAGTGCTATACTACAACCCATGAATAGGAAGTTCTTTGAGGGAAAGTTGTCTTTTCATTAGAAAACAAAACATGCCCTTTCCCATCAGAGCTTGTGTGTTTTAATGTCACAGAAGTAAGAGCTCTGTGGGGAAGACAACTT